CCATGGCCGGCAAGCGAGTGAGAACAGAACACGACTGAACAGAACGAGCGCTCTGAGCCAGTGTTTCACCCGCACTGCCGTCAGAACAGCTCAGCTTGCGGAAGCATTCTCAGCCCTCCGCGCATGAATGAGATTGTTCTTCACTGCACACCTGAGATGTGAGATTCGGTGGTCGTCCCCCGTCCAAGAGGGAACTTCCGGAGCTCCCGCCCAGGTGGTCCGTACGTAAAGAAGCCCGCAACTCCACCTCAGGTTTTCTGCACAGCGAAACATCAGATGCTTCTTGCAAGCAGTCTGATTCCGAGTAGCCGTAGATGTCAGACCCCGGTCTATAGAAGAATCGCCTCACAGGGCAGATCCGAGAAACAGCACGGATTTGAACAGGTGGACCCGTCACCTCTTGCACAGCTCCAGGACCTCTTTTTGGTTCACGGCGAAGCGGTCGGCCCCATCGCTCGAAACCTTGCAAGCTCTGGACTCTGGCCCGATGTCAGCACCGGAAGCTCTGCATGGGCTGCAGGGAACACTTGGCAGACGTTCCGAATTCCGGCATGTTCCAGCATGTATCCGTTCCCTCCTCTGCCTCCCAAGCGAACTGACGGCGGAAGGCTCTCAGAACTCCCCTGCGTCCGAGATATCACTAAACTGTACGATACGACAAGTACATCACTCCAAATCGTGGGAAACCCCTTGTGATCGGGAGGTGGGGCTGGCTCTCCCCATCACGAATATGGACGATCAGACGAAGGCAATGCGATGAGGGCCCAGCTGCACCTTTGTCAGGTGATGTGCCCGAACCTTCGGTTCAAATCCCGGGCGATGCGAGAGATGATGCGAGAGCAGCGAAGAGCAGCGGAGAGCAGGTCTCAGCGAAAGTCTCAGCGATCCGCTCGGCTTCGAGGCCTCGGAGGCGGCCGCTTCGAGTTGGTGCCGAATCCAGGGCTCTGAGCGGATGACCGTGCCGTTCACTCCGCCGCCTTGGTTTCAGCTTCATGGGAAAGTGGTCAGAGACAGAAGAACACATCAGAACACGTCCAAGAAGCAGCTCCGAGATTTCGATTCGGACACAGCTGTCTCGGTTTTACTTGCATAATGCCAGGAAGTTGCTGCTTCCAGCCCTCCAACAGCTGCTTATGGTATGGAACCGTCGATGAGACAGGCATGTGTGGAGGCATCTCAGGAGAGCACTCGACTTCTGCACCGCCTCGGCATCGCGAGGTCCCTCACCGAAAGCTCTTGAAGCACAGCAGAGGAAACAGGCCAAGCTCCCCTGCGACGGCAGGGACTGCTGATGTTTTGCCTGATCTCAGCTGGCAACATGGGCAAGTTGTCTGGACACCGTTCGAAGCGCGAACTTGCAAAGAATTCCTGAGTCAATTGCTGGATCTACTCTTCGCCTCGGAGACATCTTTTGCGCATTGCACACTGCTAAGCTTCAGGACTTGTCTTGCGAGTTCATCAGGCTCGGCGCATGCAGTATGTAGTACTTGATGCTCGTAGCGATGAAATCATCGCCCATCTTCAACGAACCTTCTCAGGGCTGTAGCTGGGCAGCGGCAGAATACCTGGATCTACGATAAAGTCAGGCCTTTGGCGTGCCGCGCCAAGTGCCCGAGCAATTTGGGAACACGCTGCGTTCTTTCAACTAAAAGGGCGATGGCATTTGCGGTTTCGTAAACAGGCTGCGGTGTATGCGTAGTTCGCAGGGCCGGAGCTCTGGTTGTCATGTTGCGTCACTTGGCTGAAGCATGCTTGAGCCGAGGTGGCATCTACAGCACTTTCCCGAGCAACCTGCGTCCCCACTGTACTATACTGAGTGGCCCCTGCGTTTGGGAAGCGTCGTTTGAAATAAGGCACGGGAGGACAAATAATCTACTGCGGTCAAATCGCCTCGTGAGGAGGAATTTTGATGTGGCCCTGTGCCTTAACATAGTTGCCCCGCCATGGAAAGGCAGGCATGCTTGACTCTGCTACGGTAGAACCACCCCTGCTGGAGAGATGCTGCGTGTAAGGCTCCACGGTACCAGTACAGTGTTGGTCTGTCAGGTTGGAGGGCCGGCCTCTTGGGTTATCAGATGTTGCCATCGGTGCAGGACAGTGATGACAATGCCACAGGGGTTTCGGCAGCAGTCAGTTCGCCAGACACTGACTCAGGAATACGCCTGACGCCTTACTCTCGGAGGAGTCTGGATAACTGATCGGCTTTGTCGTTTCGAACCAGACCGATGCGACGGACACGAAGGCTTGTGACTCTCAGGTCCCGGGCGCCAGTGACAAGTTCAAGGCAACGCGCCGCGAGGCGGGGAGTACCGTGCAAATCAACCCCGCCCAGCTTCTGCGGGCAGATACTTGGATAGTATAAGCCCACTCGGACTGCAACATCCGCAGGATTGTTGGAGTCTGGCAGCTTCCGAAATCCGTGCAGCAAAGCCTAGACAAGGCAGTTGTTTGAGAAGTGGATGCTTCCAAAACAGAGGATCGTGGCCGCTGTCTCCTTGCCTCCTTGGCAGATTGAGGTAGTGCCATGTTCGACAACGGGCACGAGTCTTCGTCACACATTGCTATGGAGGCTTGTTGCACAACCCACACTTACAAAGCCAACGTCCAAGTCAGGGCGGGCAAGTCATCGATTGCGAAGTGCCATCTTGCACACCATGATATGTTGCATCGTCGGTCCGGTCTTAAAGCCGTCAGCAACTTATTCCGTTTGGGAAGCTGATGTTGGGATGCTTGTTTTCCTGCCAGTCACGTTTCCCATTCGTAAGGCAGTGCAGTATTGTGATTCGGACATGCCTCCTTTTGTCATGGAGCTCCGGTCGCTGGTTGGAGACTGGGGAGTCTCCTCCGGTAGATCTATCTTTTGCCGTGTGCCAAGCGACAACTGCTCCCCAGATTGTCCAAACACTAACAATGACAGAGGACAACACCAGCATGCCTTGAAATGCAAAGCATATCGAACTGTTGGCCGTGAGTATTCTTGAAGCCTGATGAATCTTTGTCTTCCGATTCGGAGTGGTTAGGTGCTGACCTATGCCAATAGACTTGCTGAGCATCAAGATGCTCTCCAGATGCATCTCGCGACCTGGATGCTGCCACCTCCCAGCGGTGCATCTTGCAGGCATCTCAAGACTGAACTCCCTGATGGACGGGCTGAGTTTTCGCAGCTGCGATAACTCGACGTTGGCTGCGCTGTTTAAACATTGACATACGTTGGGCATCCCAGTGCATCACCCTAACCCACATGTCTTCTCACATCTCTCAGCCCCTGAGTCCGGAGATCCGCACTGGGCTGACCTTAACCTGAGATCGCGTGCAACGCCAAATGCAGCCTTCAGATCGCCCCTTCCGAGGCTACGGCCTTTGCTGTGGGTGTGCTTCGGCCAGCCGCTGCAGCTGCAGCCGCCGCGGTGACGCCCACCTTCGAGCCAAACTCAACCACCTGGCATGTTTACTCAACTCGTTTGCAAGCAACTTAAGGCTGCAGCTGAGTTCATGGGCATCTGGGGCGGTGCAGCCTGCAGACTTGCGTGAGCTGCTCGAAAGTCCATAACGATTCAAGTCGTCGCATCCTCCAAGAAGCTGGGACCCCAACTGCACTGAGGGGTTCTCGAGGGATCCTGCACTCGGGCTCGGTTTTTTGGATGTGGAGCAAAACGAATCAGAAAAAGCCATCTCCTGTCCATTGCACTCATGTAGCCGTAGGCCACTCGAGCCTCGACGCTGAGACTCACTGCCTCTTGTTTTGGCAAATGCCCTGACGGAACAACGCGACTGCCTGGCCGAAGGCAGGAACTGGACTGGCTGCTGCCTGAGAGCAAAGTTGGAGCTACTGAGCCTTGCCCTGCAAGGCTGAAGCTCGGCACCGGGCCCCTCTCGCCTGTGGTCTGGTCTGAATCCTGCGAGTGCTCCAACTCAAATTGGGATGCTCGCGCCCGCAATCTGTCAGCATTTCCTCTCACTATTCGTCATCAATACTGCAACGAACCGACTTGCCTCAGCTGCGTCGTGCGAGGAGTCACCGGGTTACTCCCTGCCACAACTCAGCATGTCCGCGCTGATTGCATCTCCTGCCTGCGTGCCTGCGTGCGTGCCTGCCTGCCTGCCTCAGGCATGCATGCATGGTTGCTTGCATGCATGTGCGGAATATCAGACAATCCAGATAAAATCATTCGGCCCGACTGCAACCTCTGGACCAGATGATGCTTCGGACACTGGAATCGAGCAGCAAGTAAACACGGCACGAACATGACGTGCTACTCCCCGATACAATCTGAAGAAACATGCAATGATGCAAGAAACCGTCTTGAAAGTGGCACACTGTAGGATCTCAAAACGGGACATAACACAGGCCACGGCATTGCGCAACATGACGTCTGCTTAGCACGAAGTGGCTTGACAAGGAAGACAACAACCACACACCGCAAGCACCTACCTTCTGTACATACTCTAGCACAGAACAATAATGACCGTCATAACAGCGGGCATTATACGAAAGCATAAATGTGCATGACTGACACACTACCGTTTCTCATCAGGCCTGGCATTTCCTAACATAATCTAGTGCATTCCAAAACAAGCAATCCCAGTACAGCACGGTCCTGCAGAGAAAAATGAAACCATACACTGGATTTCATGGAATGCATTAGCTGCAGGTGCGGTTTTCTTCTTCTTCTGGGATGACGGTTCTCTACCCCCTGATTCCTCGATCTTTTGGACACTGCGAAAGCCCTGCTGAAACACTCCTGCCATCGGCATCCCACGACTCTGCGGCGAACCAAAACAGCTCTAGCACGCCACTCCTTCCTCTGATCCTGATCCATTATATCGGATCGGAAAATGCTTGCAAAGTGGGAAGGCGGACGGAGCCCGAGTTCGGCAGGCCCATCTATCTACCTATCTATCAGTATGTCTGTCTGTCTGACCATCTGAATATAACTACCTGGCTATATTGCCTACGTCTGCGTGTACTTGCACACATTCATGTATATACACTTGATAGTCATGTGTGCAGATGGACCTTACCTGCTCTAGGCTAATGTGATTCTCCAAGGCCTGGCTGGGAACTCGCCACGTTGGACAATGGAGGAGCAGGCGCGACCTTGCCGGCAGCATAAGCCCAAGATGTTTGCATCGCAGAGATGACGGCAAACGCGAAGTCTGGTGCACTGCTGTAGTTTCGACATAACAGCAACACCTTTTTCGGTCAATAAAAAGTCTCGATGTTCAAACCTTTTCATGCAAACCTCTTGCAGAATCTAGATGTGCGTTGGCACCTCCTGAACGGCGCCTCTCCACATGAAGATCTGCGAGTCGCATTTGATGCCGAATCAAGGCTTGTTGCTCTTGAGCTCGGATGTCGTTGCTGCAGCATCAGAGGTGTCAGTAGGGATACCATGCAATGCCATTGCATATGTTGAAGAACACTGGTGAGCTGCATTGTGCTCTTCTTCGGTTCTGTGTTCGTGACATAGGTCTCGCAACGTCTGGACCGGGCCTCTCTTTCGTGTTCGCCCGTGATCTTTCCAAAGTGCAGGGAAGAGAAGTGAGGAACGAACACAATCGCTGTAGGTGGGACATTGTGCAGCACAGGCCCCCACAAGAAGGAGACCTACAATAAGGAAGTAGAAGCTCGAATTCTCCGGAGCCGGAGATGCACACTTCGAGAACACTTCGTCTCTCCAGCCGTCAAATGAGAGGAGCAGCAGTGGAGCATGTCGCGTGTTGAAAGAACAGATGTGAAGTAAATGTAAGCACTAGTTTCATCTTACTCTCAGGCGGAGATCGAAAGGCTTCATGCAAGCAGGACCTCCTGTCTCAGATCCAAGGCACGACTATTGAGGTACCTTCAAGGTTCTGCTATCAATATACGCGAAGTGCCACGTGCTGAGCATGTGGCTGTGCCGGAAGAGAAGTGTAAAGTTGGCACTGGGCCAAAGGGTGCACCTGCAACCTGACTGAAGTGACTAGCAGGTTTTCCAAAAAACAAACTCCAAGAAGCATCAAGATTCAAGCCTGCCGCACAGCCGGACCAGCAGGCCGTCGAGGTGTAACCTGCATCTTGCATGAATCTTGCAGAAATTTGCAGAAATGCTCCTGATTCCTGGACTCTCCGCTCTCCGCACCTCTTGGCGGTATTGCGAGACCTCTCGCATGAGCTGGGCTTGGCTTTCCTGCAAAGCGCTGCAAAGCACAGCACTCCCAGTCTCTCTTTCTTTGTCTCTTCCTTTCGCCAGGGCTGAGGCGGGAGGTCTCGGTCTTTCTTTCTGCGGGCTTGAAGAAGGGGTCTCCATCTCTCCCTCCCGACCATAGGGGACGATCAAGTCCCCCGGGCCTCAAGCCCACCCGTACTTATGTACAGGAATAGGGGAGGTGAACTACGAGTGTAACTTGACCTAAAGCCTTCAAGAATACGATCACGAAACAAAACAGACTGTGTCACTCCCTGCTCATGCAACCACAGATCTCAATGTTAAGAAGGCGTCATGAGCAAGTGACATTCTTTCAGGATTTTAAATCAGAAAGTCGAGAGGGATGCTTGAAACAACTTGTTAGAGCAGTCGGTAAAACCGATACAGGCTTTCAATTCTTCGATTCAAAATTCGAACGCAAAGCGGAACATTCCCCCTGTTTTGACAGAATTCATGACTGCGCACTTCACGTGGCTGTGGCTCTGGTTGCATATGCATTGATGGCAATGATCACACTAGGAAAGGAACCTCAGTCTCCCTCTGTGTCTCTCCCCCGTCCCTTTCACACTTCACTTCACTTCGGGGCGTGGGGGACGGGGCGGATTCAAGGGCTTCGTGGGGAGATGTGAAAAAGCCATTCTGTCTACCTACGACCTACCGACTTACTTACATTATGAAGTAAGTACTCACATACTTACGTACAATATCATTGACGCCTCATTTAGAAAAGATAAACGACACCTTTGCAGAATGCGGTGTTCCAACTTCTCAATTACAAACCTATGACATATTGCTAGTGGGGGCCACGACGTGTAAAGGGAACATGGAAGGCTCATTAAAGCTGGTTTTGGACTTTCGATGCGCCTGGACAAGGCTCGTTTTGGACTTTGGAAAGGTTTATGCATTCTTGCAAGGGGGCTCCTCAAAAGCCGCCTTATGGGTTTATCGCCAGCCGAGCTTCTTCAGGGCTTATCATGACCTTCTTGAGGGCTGTGGATGGGAGAAGTTCAGGAAGTCAAGCTTGATTCATGGCTGAATCTCACATCCCTGCATCTTCAACTGCTGAGGATGGGCTAATAGGCATCACAAGCGAAGCTTCTGCTAACGCGGCACTAGCACTGCACACTAGCCAGCGCGCGGATTGCCCATGCGACTACATTATTGTTGGCTCAGTTGTGATGATAATGATAATGGCTATGATGATAATAATGATGATGCTGACCATGGTGACGGAAATCCGCCGACCCCGGCTGGGTCGGCGCAAGGAGGGCCTGCCCTGTTGTTTGGTTTGGTGCGCTCCAAAGTTACATTGAGGTGCTCTGCGTCTGCGTCCTTTCCTTCCTCGCAGATCATCTTCCCCCGTCGGCCCCACCGTCTAAACGCCCCCACGGTATCAAGAAGAAGAGCTTTAGCCATCCCCAGCACAGCTCACCCACCCCGACCACCTTCACATCTCTCACCGCCCAGACCGCTGCCGTGCGCTTCCTCTCGTTGGTCACCCGCCACCGCCACCCCCACTGCCTTCAGCGACTCCACTGCTCACAACACCTTGATTTTCCATAACCTAGTGCTGCCACCTCCCCCCATCCCTTCCCCTCCCTGCACTTGGCTTCTTATAAATAAGGTTTTTTTTTTACTCCTTTCCAGCGAGGCCATCCGCCACACCGCCCCAACCGCCCCCACCACCTCCACTAGCGCCTTGCTTTTGGCTGCTTAAGCACTAGCACTTTACTCGTTCCCAGCGAAGCCACCCGCGACACCGCGCCCACCCGTGTCCCCACGAGAGGGCAGGTGCGGAGTGCAACACACACACACACATGATGCAATCACCCGGCCGCCCCCCCCCAAAAAAAGGAAACAAAATATCCTCCTCCACCCTCAACCCCCCGCCGCCAACAGAACTCAAACTCATGCCGCCTCCTAGCGTCGCCTTTCCGCTCTCGGGGTCGGCGGCACTGGCGACAGCCATTGACTACTGATGAAAATGATCATGACAATGGTGATGGTGCTTCTGGTACCAGCGAAGGAGATCAGACAGAGGCTTTTGGAATATGTGCAGGCGAAGCAGATACATGAAGACGAATGGCCAGCAATCACGACGACAACCTTGCGAGCCTGTACAGCATATAGCCGCGGGGCACCCGTGCGGATGAATGACATTGTGCACACCCGTCCAAGGAAAGAGGCTTCTGCAAGCAATCCGCAACTTCAACGTCATCGTGTGAAAACAGTTCCTCCACAAAAAGAGGCTACTGTACAGGGAAGACCTCAAGTAAGCATATCTCCACCAAATGAACTGCCTTCACAATAGGGTTGGACAGATACACCTCTTACAAAGTACTAGCGCCAGGCTAGCACAATACCAGCGCCAACAAGCAGAATACACAGCCCTAGTTGCATGACGCACGCCTCCATGTTCAAATCGAAAACCAAGCCCGATTAACCAAACAGGTCCTTTTGCGCAAACTCCTCGACAGGGTATTTAGACCAATGCCCCCGTTCATACATACATACATATTACATACATGCATACTGACATACATAACCACATAATCACATGCATGCACCAGCACCAATACCAGCACCGCACCAGCACGGCACAGCACAGCACCAGCAAAGTTCTATACACACACACACACACACCCACC